GTTTAGTCTTCATAAATAGGGATCTCTGTACTTGTAATTCTAATTCTGTGAGCACCTGGATAATAAAAACCCTAGTTGCAAAGTGGATTAGGTCAGCCGACCGAACCACTATAAATCTTGTGTTCCGTTTTCTCCGTTTTGATTTTCTGTTTTGTGTGTGTTCTTGTTTGGTTTTGGTTTGCTATTCAGTATTCTTAGATACCCCAACAACTGGTATCAGAGCCTTAGGTTCGTGATCGTTTGAAGTCTTCCCTCGGGTTTGTGGAGATCAGGTTCAAATCAAAGATTAGGGTTTCAAAGGGTTTGAAGATCAGTTCCACCACCGTCATAGTTTCCGTTGCAGAATACGGTCTGTACTATCTTGTGAACAGTAACTGCGCCGCCGCTGCTGCTAGGGTTTTTTTAAGCCGCCGCTGCTAGGGTTCCGAATAGCCGCTGCCATGGTTAGTTCGTTATTGGTTTTTTCAATCTTAGATCAATTTTTCAGCCGTGTATGGAAACAATGGCAGATGAAAAGATAAAGATTGAAAAGTTTGATGGAAGTGATTTTGGGTTTTGGAAGATGCAAAGCGAGGATGTTCTTTATCAGAAAGACTTATACCAAACGTTATCGGGAGAAAAGCCAGAAAAGATGAGTGATGCAGATTGGGCGATTTTGGACAGGAAAGCTTTGGGAGTGGTTAGGTTGTCATTGGCGAAGTGTTGCTTTCAACATAGTCAATGAAACGACTACGCATGGGTTAATGAAAGCTTTGTCGAATATGTACGAGAAACCCTCAGCACTGAACAAGGTGTTTTTGATCAGACAGTTGGTTAACACCAGAATGAGGGATAGTGCTTCAGTTACCATTCACATCAACCAGTTTATTTCGCTCATAACTCATTTAGGATTTGTTGGAATTAAGTTTGATGATGAACTTCAGGCATTGCTACTTTTATCTTCTTTGCCTGACAGTTGGTCTGGAACAGTGACTGCAGTTAGTAGTGCATCTGGTACTACTAAGTTTACTTTTGAAGGAATTCGGGACTTGATTCTAGGTGAAGACATCAGACGCAGAAGTTCAGGGGATTCTTCGAGTGCACTGTTGAGTACTGAAGGTAGAGGAAGAAGGAATGAAAGAGGAAGCAACCGTGGTAGAGGCAAGAGTCAGTCCACGCATCGGGAAGGAATTGTCTGTTGGGATTGCAATCAGACAGGACATTTTAGAAGTGAGTGTCCGAATGGTAAAAAGGAAGTGAATACTACATAAAGCTGCTCAGACAATAGTGATGATGTGTTAATCTGTAGCGTAGAGAGTAGTATAGATTCCTGGGTGATGGATTCTGGTACATCTGTTCATGCCACACACAACATGAAGATGATGAAGAATCTGAAGATTGAGGACTTTGGTAAGGTACGACTTGGTAACGATGAAATTCTGGATGTTACGGGCATGAGGGATATTGACTTGAAAACTTCAGTTGGAGCCACTTGGACTTTGAAAAACGTCAGAGTCATTCCAAGCTTGAAGAGGATGCTTATCTCAGTTGGGCAGTTGGATGCTTCGTGTCTTGATGTTAAATTTGGTGGTAGACAGTGGAAGGTGGTCAAAGGAAATCTTGTTGTTGCTCGTGGCAAGAAAAGGGATTCGTTATATATGGTCGAGATACCTCCAGAAGGAGCAAGTCCATTTTTTGTAAAAGAAAAGGTCCGGTTCAAAGAATCTCGTGTGCTAAAGAGGGTTACCTTTGCAAAGGAGAAACTCAGAGAGAGAGTACAGATTCAGGATGAACTAGCTCGGAAGGTTCAACCAGTCAGGGAATTTTGTGACAGTGGGAGCACAGGTCGTGCTTTAGTCCCAATCCGACAGTGGGTTAGGAAAACTAGTATTCCGGCATTGAAAGTTTCTCATGTTACCTATTTGCTTGGTTTGGAGAATGTAGGTTCTCAGTTTGCCTTAGAAGCCAGGAGAGTGATAGATGTGTCACACTCGGAGCTAGCAGAGAAAGAGAACGAGTCACGGGTTGTGACTGATGAGTTGAAGCTCAGTGGGAGCTTCAACGGGCCTTCAGATAACTGAAGAGAAGGCCGCTGCAACTAGTGGAAAATGAGGATTACAAGAGTTACAGATGATGAAGACTAAGGGGC